CCTAATCTAAGATGACACGGTTAGAAAGCGGTAAAGACAGCTCCAAATCCGTGCTGTTGGACTCGAGTCCACGCAGCTGAAGAGCCGGACCTTTAGGCTGTCCCATCCCCTTGGCTTGGCCCCACTGAGCGTCCCCTGCAGAAACCCGTGTTAGGTCGCTGTTGGCATTGTAGCCGTGGCGTCACCGGTGCAGGGACTGAATGTGCGCGCTCGGCGCCTACCGCGCAGAACCCCGGGCGGGGTGGGGCCCTGGTGGGACCGGGAGGGGAGAGAGAGCGGCCTCGGGCTCCCTGGGGTAAGCAGTTGAGGGAAGACGTGGGGCGGGAGAGGTTGCGCGCTTCCTGCCCCGCGCGGAGGACAGGGTCTTACGCGGGGCGGACAGGGCCCGTGCGTAAGGCAAGGCGGGGCCTGACGTGGGGCGGGGCCTGTTCACGGGGCGGGGCGGGGCGGCTCTGTCTGCCTCCCTCTCCACCCCGCCCTGGCGCTGCGCGCGCACCTCCCTGGAGTTCCGCGGTCCCGCTCCTCCTGCGCTGCTGCTCAGGCCAGGCTCGCGGGGTCCGTGGTGGCGTCCTCACCGTCGGCACCCGGAGCTGAATTCTGCTCGCGGAGCGCCAACAGGGCCCTCGGGGACGGTGGCGGCAGCCGGGGCTTTTTCCGCACGGTCATCGATCAAGTCATGATTTCCAGAACCCGGTCGCGAAAGACCCTCCTGGATCAGCAAATCCCCGGTCTTGGGCCGCGCGTCCCGGCAGCCCGGAGCTGCGCGCCCCCGCGGGAGTGAGTAGAATTGGAGCGCTCCGGCTCTGCGCGCAGACTCGAAGTGCCCTGCACTCGCACCGCCGCGTCTTTGGGATAGTGGTGACAGGTGATGAGGACCCAGCCCAGCGGGCCGGCTGGACGGCCACCTCGCAGGTGCGAAACTCAGTCCGGGGTCTCCCACAGGTTTCTCCGTGGCAGGCCGTGCTTCCAGTGCCTGGCCCTGCTCCGGAGGCCAGCAGTGCCGCCCCTGCCGCGACCCCGCACGGCCCTCGCATTCTCTGGGCAGACCCACCGCCTGGCGAACAGCCCATGGTTCGGACAGGAGAGGGAGGCACGGACTGGGCAGGAAGCAGAGGAACATCGAGGGCACCACGCGTGACTGCGACACACTGGCCATCCTGCCTACGTCACCAGGATCGCATCCTGAGGAAGGCTAGAGGCCAGCAGCCATGCGGGCCAGCCAGGAGTTGGACCGAATTTTGATCTGGTGTTGACCATTTCTTCCTTTTTAAAAAATAACTTATTGATCTCCTTTTCTCCTTTCAAAAATGATGTTTATTGTAAGAACTTTTAAAATTACAGGTAAAAAAAAAAAAAGAAAAATCACCAGTAATTCTTCCATCCCGAGACACCTGTTGTTAGTATTTGCTCTTTATCTTCCCTTTTTCTGTGCAATATATTGATGGGCTTTGTTTTATTCGCAAAAAAATAATCAAGCCATCCATACATATTTGGTAACATTTTTTTCCCACTTAGTATCATTTTGGGCTGTCTCTGCCTGCCATGCTATACTCTACCACAGCCCCACAACCTGCCCGCCCATTGTTCCTGGACGTGGCCTTACTTGTGGCACCCCCAGTATCGGTGGGTCGTTTGTGTCAGGCCCAGCTTTAGGCCTGGAGGTGCTGAGGGCAGCAAGGGCCCTGCCTTCATAGCCTTTTTATTGGGTGGGGGAGTATACATGTGTACAAATAAGACTATTTCAGACGAGATGAGGAAATTAAAATCAGGTGATGGGGTATGTGGCAAGGAAGGCCTTTGGGACTAGGGGTGACAAGAATGGTGGTCTGTGCAGAGGGGTGTCACCCTCAGGCCCAGGCCAGACGCAGTGGAGAGAATCTAGGAGTGCGAGGAGAAGCTGCCATTGCAGAGTGAAAGTTCTGGGCATGCTTGAGGCCCTTCCCAGGTTGTGAGTGGTCTCCAGGCAATCAAGGAGGGAGAGACACACAGAGGGGTGGAAGGCCCGGTAAGGTCCTCGGCACTGACCATACCCCACCCCACTACATATATTAATATCTTATTTTTTTCTATCATGTCAGAGAATAAAAGACCACTTTGCCAGGGTGACCTGAAAATAGTTTCTGGTTTTCATGTGCTTGGGTTGCTAGTGAGGCTGACATTTCCCTTAAGTTTACTGTGCCCTTAGTTTCTCCATTTTTCCAATTGACAAAGAACTTAAAATGTCCTGACTCTTTTGTGATTCTAAAATCCCAGGCCAAGGCAAGAATTTTAAGAAATAATTCACTATCTGTCCCCTCATCCATATCATCACCTGCAAGGACAAAAGAAGGATACCACCAGTCCTTTCCTGATGTTTGTATTCTCAGAAAGAGCTCTCTTCCAGTCATCTTATTCAACCCTCAATTCTTCTGAGAATGCTTTTCGCCCTCCTTACTTTACTCCTTACTCCCCACTTGGTAGAGTGAACTTTGCAGAAGCCACTTTGCCAGGAGCCGCTTTCGCTCTCCCTGTGTGGGTCCCAGGCTGTGGGATGCAGGGCTTCTCTCTCATCCTGTTAGCCTCCCTAGCACAGCCCGGGCCACAGATGACCCACAGACCTGCAGATGGGGCCAAAGCAGGCTATGTACTAGGTGCCTCAACATGTGTTGGGGGCTGGACTGTACCCCCAAATTCCTATGTTGGAGTCCTGACTCCAATCTCTCAGAATGGGAACTTATTTGGAAATAGGGTTGTCGCAGGTGTAATTAGGTTATGATGAAGTCATGCTGGAGTGGGATGGGCCCTAATCCAATAGGATTGGCATCCTTATAAAAAGGAGAAATTTGGACACAGACAGATACACAAAAAGGGACAAAATAGCCTTGTGAAGACTGTAATGATGCTGCCACAATCTAAGTTGCTGCTGGAAGCTAAAGAGAGGCCTGGAACAGACCCCTCCTAGCACCTCTGGAAGGAGCGTGGCCCTGCCGGCACCTTGATCTCAGACTTCTGGCCTCCAGAACCTGAGACAACACATTTCTGTTATTCTAAGGCACCCAGTCTGCGGTACCTTGTTAGGCAGCCCCAGGAAGCTGATAGACCCTATGTGCCACCATCCTGGTAAGTGCAGACTGTGCTCTGCCCAGGTGTCTTAACCCACGGGTGGACTGCCACCATTCCAGACTCCTATCTTGGTGTGACTTAGCTCTGGTTGCATGTTTTTCTTTTTCTTGATACCCAGAGGGGTGACCAGAAGTGGCCTGGGCCAACCAGAATGTAAATAGTCCCATCTGTAATGAACCTGGCTGGGTAGCAAGAACTGTGGCCCTGTTTCTGCAACAGGTAGAGGCTGATTTCAGGCTGAGGGGCTCGTCTTCACCTGATATTTGACCAAGTACTCCCAAACCCATGAATCTGGAATCCTCTGCATAGAGATATTCCCAGATCACTGGTTGCTTTATCCACCTGTCGGTCACTTCATGGTGGGTCTACTGGGGCCAGCAGTGTGCTTGCTGCTGGAAGACATCCATGAGCAGAACAGAGATCTCCCTGTGCTGTGGCACTTCGCCAGAGCAGGAAAAGGATAGTCACATGAAAATTCACATAAGAGAAAATAAATCCACATGAAAATGCAACAGCAGTGGTAATTTCTACAAAGTTCTATGAAAGAAAATGCAGAGGAAAGGAGGAATTTCCTATGGGGGGAGGGTAGAGGAAAGTGTGAGAGAGTCTCTTTGAGGAATGACCTGGAGTTCCAGTGGACATTATCCAGGCAGAGCTGGAGTCACTTCAGGGCAGGTGTCTGGGATAGCCTTGGTCAGCTGTGCCTAGCAGGTACCAGCAGCTCATGAAGCAAACAGCTGGAGGCACCCTCAGCAGACCTACCCAGTCCTCATCACACTACGCCCATTCCTGGGATATGTGCATGTCCATTCCTGCAGACCTGACTGACCCCAGTGTAGGCTGTGAGAATGTCATCCTGGTCCCAGTTTGCCTGGACTAGTCCCAGTTGGCCCCTGTTCTGGTATTTTATTAACAACACTCCTTGGATAGTATGGTCACCTGGCTGAGGGGATTTTTGTCTACAAACTCAATGCTTCCAAACACCACAGGGTCATCCTAGAGATAGTCAACATACCTATCAGAAAAATCCAAAAGGCTTCCAAAGTGCCCATGGGTTCTGGATCAGACCAGCTTGGTCCAGTTACCCCAAGTAGGGCTCACTCTTAGAATTATCTTTGCATTCACCAGATGGATTCATCTGTCACAAAAGTATACATCCAGTATTGAACTCGTATCTCCTTTCTGACATCTCCCATCTCCCACCCCCAAGACAGTTATTGGCTGTCTGTCTCCCACTCTGGCATATGAGCTCCTTGGAGGTAGGAAAGTGTCTGCCTTGTTCACTGCTATAAAACCCGCACTAGTTGTGCACCAACACACTGGATTACCTAGATGAAATGGACAAATTCCTAGAAATACACGACCCACCAAAACTGAATCATGAAGAAATAGAACATCTCAATAGACCTATAACTATTAAGAAGATTGAAGCAATAATAAAGTACCCGACAAAGAAAAGCCCAGGACCAGATGGTTTCACTGGTGAATTCTACCACACCTTTAAAGAAAAGTTAACACCAATTCTTCTTAAATGCTTTCTAAAAATTGAAGAGGAGGGAACACTTCCTAATCATGTATTACACTGATACAAAAACCAGACAAAGACTCTAGAAGAAATGAAAACTGCAAAATAATATACCTTACGGACACTGATGCAAAATCCTCAACAAAATACTAGGAAAACAAATTCAATGACATATTAAAAAGATCATACACCATGACCAAATGGGATTTGTTCCTGGAATGCATCCTTTAAATCAATAAAAATCAATCAATGTAATATACCACATTAATAAGATGAAGGGAAAAAATATGAGCATTTTAACTGATGAAGAAAAAGCATTTGACCAAATTCAACACCCTTTCATAAAAAATGTTCAACAAAATAGGAATAGAAAGAAATTTTTTCAACATAGTAAAGGCCATATATGAAAAGCCCTAAGCAAACATCATAATGGTGAAAAAGTTAAAAAAAGCTTTTCCCCTAGGATCAGGAACAAGAGAAAGATGCCTCACTTCTGTCAACACAGCATTGGAAGTTCTAGCAAGAGAAAATGAGCAAGAAAAATAAAAGTTATTCAAAGTAAAAGAAAAGTAAAATTATTTCTGTTTGTAGGTGACATGATCTTATATCATGTAAAATCATCAAGATTTAGGAATGCTAAAGATTCCACAAAAAACTGATAGAACTAATCAACAAATTCAGCAAAGACGTAGGATGCTACATCAGCACACTATAGTCAGTTTCATTTCCACACATTAAAAATGAGCAATCCAAAAAGGAAATTCGGGACATAATGCTATTTCAACACCATCAAATAAATAAAATGCCTAGGAATAAACTTGACCAAGGAGACAAAAAGATTTGTACTCTGAAAACTACAAAACATTGCTGTAAGTAGTTAAAGAAGACACAGTAAATGGAAAGAAATCCCATGTTCATGAATCAGAAAACAATATTGGTAAGATGTCAATACTACCCAAAGTCATATACAGATCCAGTGTAAACCCCAACAAAACTCCAATAGCCCTTTTTGCAGAAATGGAGAAATCAATCCTCAAATTCATATAGATTTATAAGCCAAAACAATCTTGAAAAAGAACAAAGCTGGAGGACTCATAACTCCTGATTTCAAAACTTACTACAAAGCTACTGTAATTGAAACAGTGTGGTGCTGGCATATGAATAGACACACGAAAGAACAGATACACAGAAGCCTAGACACACAGAAGAATGAAATACAGTAGAGCCCAGAAATAAACCCTTGCCCATGTGGTCAAATGATTTTTGACAGTGGTGTTATGACCATTTGATGGGGGAAAGGACAGTTCTTGGCAAGTGGTGCTGGGAAAACTGGACATCTACATGCAAAAGAACAACAGTAGACCCTTACCTTGCACTGTATGCAAGAGTTAATTCAAAGTGGATCAAAGACCTAAACTTAGGAACTGAAACTGTAAAACTCTTAGAAGGAAACATGAGAAAGAAAGAAGATAAACAGATCTTTTCATATGCACATGAAAAGATGCTCAACATCACTAATCATTAGAAAAATATAAATCAAAACCACAATGATCATGGAGTTTCAGTAGAGCCAAAATAAAACTGAAACATCACAATGAAATACTACTTCACACACATTAATCACACACTATAATCAAAAAACAAATATACATATAAAATACCCCAAAATGAGAAAATAATATGTATCTATGAGGATGTGGAGAAATGAGAATGCTTGTGCATTGTTGGTGGGGAATATAAAAGGGTGCAGGTGCTGTAGAAAATTGTGTTTTCTCAAAAAATTAAAAATAGAATTATCATATGATTCAGCAATTCTACTTCTGGGTGTACGTACATACAAAAGAAGTGAAATCGGGGACTTGAACAGCTATTCGTACACCCATGTTCATAACAGAATAAGTCATTATAGCCAAAATGTGGAAACAACCTGTATCATCGACAATGAATGGCTAACCAAACATGATATATACATACAATGGAATATTATTCAGCCTTAAAAAGGAAGTTCTGACACATGCTACTACATGGATGAACCTTGAGGACATTAGGCTAAGTGAAATAAGCCATTCACAAAAGGACAAAGACTGTGTATGAGGTACCTAGGGTCATCAAATTCACAGTGACAGAGAGTAGGATGGCAGTATCCAGGGACTGGGGAGAGGAGGTAGTAGAGAGTTAGTGTTTAATGAGGACAGAGTTTCAGTTTGGGAAGATGTTCTGAGGATGAACTGGTGATGGTTGCACTACACTGTAAATGTACTTAATGCCACTGAGCTGTACATTTAAAACCGGTTAAAATGGTAAATTTTATAATGTATATTACTATAATTTAAAAAAACAAACAAACCTGTACTAGCATTCAGTGCACATTGTTGAGTGACCAAATAAACACACACTGGAACATGCTGTTTTCCATCAGGTAACAAGGTGAACAAAAGGTCTTGGCCGCAAATGCTCACAGCTAGGTGTGCAGTGCTACAGTGTGCAGTGCTTCATTGGGGTACCAGGGTGAAGGCAGCGCCTTGGGAGCCCACCGTCTTATGCCTGCAGGAGGCTAGGCCACTTGAGGTGGGTGGTGAAGTCTTGATGCTCACAGACTCCGGGATGCTGCGCCCTGGGGAAAGAGGTGGACTTGGTGGGTGAGCATTAAGGCAAAGGCAGACCACATGGAGAGGACACCAAGCTTAAGGCAGCAGAGTTCCAGGTATACCTGTGGCCAGAGAGGACGCCTGGACCTCTGAGACCACTGCACCCCTCCTCTCCGGGTCCTTATGAGGAAGTTCCCTTTGCTCTTCTTCCCCTCTCTGCGAGCCCTTGCAAGGTCCAGGCCTCTGCTCTCAGGTCACCTCTGCCGAGCACCTACTTTGGGCCCATTCCCCTAGGGCACTGTGGCATCCAGTCCACCAGTACTTGCATATGTGTCGCTGTCTCCCTTTACTGCAGTACCAGCTCCAGAAGACTTGAGACTTCTCAGTGCTCCACAGGGGCTACCAAACAGCTATAGCACTGCTCAGCACAGAGCAGGTGCTCGATACATGCTTAAGTAAATGAATGAGAGGTCGGGAGAATATGGAAAAGGGAAGGCTTTTTGATGAGAGCCAACGGGGAAGTCATAAGAAGGAGCCAAAGAGAAGAAGACTTTGGGATCCATGTTGAGATTTATTTTAGTCTGTATTCAGCAGGCAGCCATGCAACAGCTCTGAATAACAGCAAAGTCTCAGTGGACACTTCCAGATGCAGGTAGATTCCCCAAAGTCAGCAATGAATAACTGGGGGTGGGATAACAGGCTCCCAGGATATTTTGTGTGCTCGGGGTACCCTAGGAGAGTGACCAAGGGGAGCAGCATAGGTTCTGGCTCTGAATTTAGTCTGGGCTCCTGGCCTGCTCCCCACTCTCGTCAGCCAACTGACCTCCTTCATGAGGCAGTTAACTGCTTTGAGCCTGTTTTCACTTCTGGAAACGGCACCAATCCTACCTGTCTAAGATGCCTATCTATATACCTATCTCTAAAGTGGCAGCAATAACACCTAAGGTATTAAATGTGAGTGTTGCTTATGTAATCATCACTACCCAGGGGATATGCTAAGTGCTTCACCAGCAGCTGGGTGAGTGTTGGTCCATGTCTGGGAAGAACTAAGTACAGTGCACTGTACCTCTAAGCATTTGATAGATACTGGGTAACTATTATCATTATTTGCAAACAAGAAAATGGAAGTGTCAGAGATGAGGACTGCACCAGAAGGGTCTCCAGACGTTTCTGGCTTCAGGGGACCACATGTGGGTGGATGTGGACACTGCTGGTTGGAGTGCTTCAGTGCTGCTGGAGGGGAAGGTAACAGCAATGCCCAGGCAGGCTCTCTGGGCCTCCTTGCGCACTCTGATTTGCAGGCTGAGCACTGTTTATCTGCTTTAATTCACACCAGGGTGTCAACAGTGGACAATGTTTAACAGTTACTCCCTTCCCAGAGCCATACAAAATGTCACCAGGAAAAAGGACTTTGGAGAGGAAGGTGACAGCTGGAACTCAGGTAGGAAGGCCTTAGCTCCAGACCCTGAGCAGCTCACCAAGGTGTGAGGGGGTGGGGAAGGAAGCTTATCCCTCTCCTCCCACCACCCTTCTCCAGCTTCTTATTTTCCCCATTCTCATCTTCCTCATGCTTGTCCCTCCCAGTAAGGCCCTGTCCTGGGCACTCCTGAGGCCGTGGTCAAGGGGTCATCTGTTGGAAGAGGATGGCTGACTATGTGAGGGCAGATTTTGACTCAGAAGTGAGGACTTCAACTAAGCTGCCCACAAGTGGAGCAAATGGTCCTTCGAGTCTGTTGGCGGCAGCTGAGGGCCTGTCAAAGACGCTGCTGTGAGGTGGTCTGGACCAGACTTCCTGTCCCAAGTTTGATATTCTGAGCTTGCAGTGGTCAAGACAGGACAGAGTGAGGAAGCATATACAGAGACAGGTTCCTTATTCCAATTTAGGAGCCCACTCTGTTCCGGCCCCCTGAGATGAGCAAGGGGGCCACAGTACACAGCAGTTGGGAGGGGCAGAGAGGTCCTGCTGTAGGATGGCTTGAGGAAATATCCCTACTAGCTGAGCAGCCCACTCATACACCCCCAAAATCTTGACCAGCCAGGTGAGGCAGGAGAACCACTTTAGGACAAAGGTTGTGGGGGGTGGGTCCCAGAGCAATGCAACAGCACCTTTCTACCCCCTATGCCTCAGCCACCAGCGGGATCAGCAATCTGGGACACAGACAGGCGGTTTGAGGCTGTTGCCCTTCCCGCCCCCTAGATCACCCAGGCCAGGGGGCTCTGACTAGGTTCCTAGGCAGCTCAATTCCAAATAATCGCTCTCTCTTTACAGAGCTGACTGTGCCAGTGCTCCTGGGTCCCCTGAATTCTGTCTTCCTCTAGGGCTGAACATGAAGGAAGTCCGGGGTAGTGTAAGGGGTGTGTGTGTCCCCAGTCAAGAACGAGGGGGTAAGACAGCAGGTAGGGGCGCAGGAAGGAACAGGAGGAACCCCCTGCCATGCTGCTCATCAGAACAAAGTTAATGCCAAGTAGTGTTTTTTCGGCCTTCTGAAGGATAGCATCCTATGGCCTCAGCCCGCACCCGAGGGGTCTCTTATACCCCAAGCCAATCTTTTCACCCCACACCCCGTGAGGGGGCCCCCCACCTGCCTTCCCTTTAGGTCCCGCCCCATGTTCTCTCCCGATCACATCCTCGCCCATCTTCACCCTCAGGGTGTTTCCACGGGCCTTCCTTCTACCCCCTCCTCACCTTCCCCCGCGGGTCTCCCGGCCCACTTTCTTTTCCGGCGAGTCCACCAGCCCACCTTCTCCCCCGGAGGGGTCCCGGACCCACCTTCTCCCCCGGAAGGGTCCCCAGGCCCACCTTCTCCCCTGCGGGTCCTTGGCCCATCTTCTCCCCAGCAGGTTCCCGGCCCGCCTTCCCCGCGGGCCCCGGCCCGC